CTTGTTTAGGTGCATGACTGCATTGATTGATTGCTATCTGTTTGCTGTGATGCATTAGGGTAGATTTGCATGAGTAGATACTCTTATTTAGGTGCATGATTGCATTGAAAGGTTGATGTGGTCCTCCCTTTGCTTGGTTGTTTATCTGCTTTCTTACTTGTCCTTGCTTGATTGCATTGAAGGTTAAGGTGATTCTCCCTTGCTTGTGTGTTCCTTTTCTTCCATGCTTGTCATGTTTGCATTAGAATTTGAGGCTTCCTCCTTCTGCTTGTGCTGATGCATTTCATATCTCTACATATTCTTATTTCAGTAGCTTGATAGTTGTACTCATCTGCTTAATGATTTCTGTTGGTGTTTCCCTTTAACATGCTCCCTTAGGGTTCTCAATTCCTTTGATAAGGATAGTGGTGATAGAACATTAGGATGAATCCATGCATGATAACAATAGGGTAGATTCCCTTCAAACTCAACATTAGGGCCATATCGCATGATAACAGTAGGATGCTTGATAGTTTCCCCTGTAGAGTCCTTTTCTCCTTCTCATATTCAAACAATAGTAAAACATGTAATAAAGGCTAATGAATATTGTACGCTACGAGCCTTAAGCCATTTGGGAAATGGTGATTGGGGGGCCTCTCCTCAATTACCTAGAGTGTTTAGTATACGTCCTTAGGACGATATGCGACGCATTCGCTCCTAAGTCCTAGTCTCTAGTGCAGTATGAATTACAAACATTCATAAAAAACGTTTCTTTCGATAAAAGACACAAAAATGAACGTTCAAACTTCTTTTGCCCCGTGGGCTCTTAATTCAAGGAAAACCTTTTCTGATGAAAAGAGTGTTGTTAAGCTTCGGTTCTACCGCAAACAGGCGTTATCCCTAACTGCTGGAACTGTAGTTTAACCTTACTCGGGTAAAAATAGACGAACAAGCCTGTGTTCTGTTTTATCCCGAACTACGTTCGCTCTGATTTCTCTGATGAGAATACGTAGGCATAAGATGCGACATCTTGGCGAGCAACCTTCCCCCATCACCCGTAGTTAGCCGAACTACGTTGACTCTGATTTCTCGTTCCAGACGGGAATATGTAGGCACGAAGCTGCGAGGCTTTGCCGAGTCGTTTTTCTTTTCTTTTAAACCAGACCTTGATAGGTAGATAGTTAAACAACCCGTCAGATAAACAACACAAGCGTGGATCCCGTTGAGTACAACGAACGTGAGGGGTGCTAATACCTTCCCCTTGCGTAACCGACTCCCGAACCCGAGATTTGGTTGCGACGACCTGTCTTTCCCTTTCGCTAGGTTTCTCCCGTTTGTTTCCTTTCCCTTCCTTTGGGATAAATAACGATAGGTGGCGACTCTTCTGTCATTGTCGACACCTCTTTTTCGCAGTAGCAACAGAAGTGTGAAGATCAAATTCAGATCAGAACTTGATCTAGTCAAAGCACAAAGACCAAGGTGACGTTGATAGGTCACTGCCCATCTCTGAACATACTTTGTCACGTGAAGAACTAAACTCTATCTTTTTCATAGAGTCTGTTGGGATACTACTACTAATTCCTTTTGTAGCAAATGTTTTTCATACTAGGTTTCACCTAACCTTATATTTTGGTGAAACATCCCAACATCTCTTTTGAAGCTTCTCAAAGGACTATATTATTGCATCTTCAATGACTCATTTCTTCTCTATTTAAGGAGATAAAAGACTTAAAGATCTTAACATACACACAAACGCTAATATAGGTCAATTGACAAAAAAAGATAAGTTACTTTGTTAAAGTATTAACACAAGCTAAACTTAGGATTTCTTATCCTTGTATATCTTAGAAATCACTAAATCTTAAGAGAGACTTATCGCGTTGTACTATTTATACACCTCTGATTGTATATCAAGTGTACCCACCCAATAATCATTTACCTACTTGATAGATTGTTAGAAGTGTCTTACTAAGTGTTTGAGCAAGGATGTCTCTTACTTGCGTGTTTGAGCAAATGAAGTCTCTAGCTTGTGTGCTTGAGGAAGGAAGTCTTAAACTTGTGTGTTTGAGTAAAGAAAGTCTCTAACTTGTGTTCTTGGGAAAAGATGTCTCAAACTTATGTGTTTGAGCAAAGGAAGTCTCTTGCTTACGTGCAAGAGCAAGAAAGTCTCTTACTTGTGTGTTTGAGCAAAGGAAGTCTCTTGCTTGTGGGCTTGAGAAAATTGTAATCATGTGTGATTATATTTAAAATCAATTGTAGTACAAGGGGACTGGATTACTCTCTAGTTGTGACATGAACCATGATAAATCTGTGTATTATTCTTCTTTCTTGCTTACTATATCTGCTGCCCATTTCTAACTAAATCAGATTCTATAACCTTGTGCAATTCTTCTTTCTGACTTAAGAGTTTTGAAAAAGAAAGAAAAAGCCAATGTAATTCAACCCTCCCCTTCTTGTGTGTTTTTCTCACCTTCACTTACTTCATCTCTATGGAGACCATGCTGCTAGGCATGTCTGGAAAGGAGAGGTATATTTATTTACCTTTCCATTACATTTTTCTGTTTTAAACCAATTTAATCGCGAATGATGGTGATTTTTTCACAAGAGAGTCCAAGTTTAAAATCCATAAACCACGAAAGAAAGATATTGGATTTGGAACAACCCGATGCTGACTAGTTCAAGAATGTTATTAAATACTCTGGTTTTGCTGGTTTATGTTCTCTTGCGTACACTACAATAAACCATGGCATGCAGGTGATATTTAAAGAGAGGTGGATTTTAGATACGTCTTCTTTCCACCTTCATATTGGCGAGATGACAATCACCTTGGATAACGTCTCATGGATTCTGCATCTTCTCATTAGGGAAAAATCACTGGACCACGAAAGGATCGACTGAGAGGAAGCCAACGAAGTGTGAGTTACATATTTGGAGGCTAACCTAATTAAGGCCGCAAATGAGGTAGCTAACATCATATGTACTCATGCTAGATTTAAATTTTTGGAAGAACTTTATAAAGAAATCTTGGAGATGCATGTGGATGCCGACAGTGATGATATTGAGGTTGAGTACCACCGACAGTGTGCATTAAAGTGTTACCTCTTATTACTGGTTGGCACGTCCATGTTTGTAGAGAAAAATGCAACATACGTCGATGTGGTCTATCTTAGATACTTCATCGACTTAACGATGATCCACGTGTACAACTGGGGGGACGCCTGTTTGATCTACCAGTACTCGAAGTTGGGCGAGGTCTGTCCTTGAAAGACAAAGCAAAACTACACACTACTTACGTTAATTTACTGTTACTAATATTTCCATAACTATTTTGTTACACTTGTTATTAATATTTTATTTGAATCATTTTCAAGGATGGATCATCCCCCACTTTTCTCGCATCACCGAGTGGAAACCGGTGCATACCTACGCTGAGGATTGGCCACGTGCTTCCGCCTTTTCACCATACATCGGGAATTACGCGATCGATCCATTTTGGGTGTATCTTGATTGTCTTGTAGCAAACGACATTGTATTATGCCTATACGAAGGTCACCGCCAGACACTGCAGCTGGACCTCATTTCGTTATACTCCGGATGGATGACATGTGGTTCAGGTCTGATGTATCTGTATCTTCTCGAGCGACTGATGCACTAGTTTGGGTATCTACGGATTATTCCTAGAACCCTTTAGAGTCCACTCCTCTCACCGTCCGCCATAAAGATCTCAATGTGATACTCTAGGATTTCGAGAGTCATTTGGTACCAAATGAGTATCACAGGGTTCCATATACAATAGACTTATGTTGACGGCTACATGACATTGTTCTATAAGGTGTCACACCCTATCATGACACTTGACGCTTCTGAAAGACCACATAGATCATCTATTCATGAGGTACTTAAGGCTAAGGATGACCGCACCCAAGATGTAAGCAACGTTTGCCAGCATATTTGTGGATATTACGAGATCAGACATAGAGACATGACTTTTTGCGGAAGACAATCATCAGTTGGCCCTCGTAGAAGGCATTGTTGAGGCACGAAATGTCTTGCAGTACAAGCGAATAAGTAAGAGGGGTTAAACATACTTAATAAGTTATGTTTGATTGTATTATTTTTTGTATTTACGAAACAAGTTATGTATGGTCAATACATTTTGATTTTACTTTAATTAATGTTTGATTTTGTACTTTCATTTTACTTTAATATAATTTGATTTTACTTTAATATAACTTGGGCTAAAAATATTACAATGTTAGAACAATGCGGCTGCTTTAAAATCATTTAGGAGTGTATTTAGATATGTATCTTCGAAATATTCACCGTGTGCAATTAACACGCTTCAAATACCTTTTAAACGAATATAGAAATATTTCAAATATGCATCTTCGGATACACCAAAAAAATTTACAAAGATGCATCTCTGAATTATATATTTTACCAAAAATAAGATGTATGTCTGAATTACAAAGACAAATGTAAATTAAACTACATAAAAAAAATTACATCTAAAGAACATTTTTGAATTTCCAACGGACTCGTTAGAAAGAACATTCTTTATTTTAATGTCACTTAATTTACAAACCTAGCCAACTAAACTGGACATTAATATATATATATATAGCTATACCATATTTTAAAGAAATTATATCACTAACTTAAGAGTACTATAATAGAGATAATGTAATGATTTTATGGATCATAAATATTTTGCCTATCACCTTCACGAGACATCGTTTCCATTATGATTAGTGCGTTCTTTCTTCGATTTTTACAACTTCTGAGTGTAAAAACATAACAAAAATTGAATCCAGCGAATTATATATAACAAAATTGAACTCCGAGACACATTGGTAAATTTATAAAGTACACATATTATACATAAAATCTAATTATGAGATAGATATCTCTTAATTATGTCCAACAACACTTACAAAACAAAAATGTTCACCAATTATATATATGAAAAATGAAAAGTAAAATAGTACGATACAATAATAACAGTAACATGTTTGATTTTTCTATCCAAGAATAATAGTGAGTGCAGCACCGACCAAAATTGTAATGGAGTAAGCCCATACCCCCGACGGACTTGTATATGATACTCCGCTTGACTTCCCTGGCGCCGTTTCATTGGATGATGCTGGTGATGGACTTCCTGTGATGGTAGATGACGGTGTTCCTCGTGTTCCAGTTCCAGGGGTAGTGGAAGAAGGTGATGGAGTTGTTGCGGCCGGGAGGGACCCTGTAGGAGATGCTGTTGGAGTAGTGGTTGACTCCGGCGTACCTACCGGAGCGGGAACAGGAGGTGATGTAGTTGTTGATATTGGCGAGCTTGCTGGAGCGGAAGCCGGTGGTGAAGTAGATGTTGATGCTGGTGAACTTGCCAGAGGTGAAGTTGATGGTGATGGTGAGTTGTTTGATGGGTATGGAGATAGTGGAGATGGTGCTATTCCATTTCCAGAGGGTGTTTGTGCTGTTGATGGAGGCTGAGAGGATTGTTGAGGTGATTGGGAAGATGATGGAGAAGAGGTGGTTGGTGGAGTTTGGATGTAAGGTGGTTGAGATGTTGGTGAATGAGTGTTTGGTGGTGTTTGGATATATGGAGGTTGTGAAATTGGTGAAGGAGCACCTGGAGGTGTTTGAATATAAGGTGATGCAGATGGAGAACTTTTTGGAGGGGCTGAAATGTATGGTGGTTGTGATGTTGATGAAGGAGAGTTTGAAGGTGCTTGAATGTAAGGTGGTTGTGATCTTGGTGAAGAAGTGTTTGGTGGTGTTTGAATGTATGGTGGTTGTGATGTTGGAGAAGGAGTGTTTGGAGGTGTTTGAATATAAGGTGCTTGTGATGATGTTGGAGAAGGAGTATTTGGAGGTGTTGGAACATATGGAGGTTGAGAAATTGGAGAAGGGGTTTTTGGAGAGTGGTTGCTAGGGGAAGGAGTTGTTGGAGGTGTGTAAGGAACATTAGGAGAATTATGAATAGGAGAAGAAGATTTTGGTGGTGTAATTGGTACATAAGGTGGTTGAGAGATAGGAGAAGGTGTTTTGGGAGGTGTTGGTGTATATGGTGGTTCATTTTTAGGGGAAGGAGCTTTTGGAGGAGTGTAGGGATGATTTGGAGGGGTGTGAATAGGAGAGGGAGTGTTTGGTGGTGTAATTGGTACATAGGGTGGTTGATTGCTAGGGGAAGGTGCTTTTGGAGGAGTATGGGGATGATTTGGAGGGGTGTAAATAGGAGAAGGAGTGTTTGGTGGTGTAATTGGTACGTAGGGTGGTTGATTGCCAGGGGAAGGTGCTTTTGGAGGAGTATATGGAGCATTAGGAGGAGTGTGAATAGGAGAAGGTGATTTTGGAGGAGTATATGGAACATTAGGAGGGGTGTGAGTAGGAGAAGGTGCTTTTGGAGGTGCAATTGGTGTATATGGTGGTTCATTTCCAGGAGAAGGTGATTTTGGAGGAGTATATGGAACATTAGGAGGGGTGTGAGTAGGAGAAGGTGTTTTTGGAGGTGCAATTGGTGTATATGGTGGTTCATTTCCAGGAGAAGGAGCTTTTGGAGGAGTATAAGGAACATTAGGAGGAGTGTGAATAGGAGAAGGAGTTTTAGGGGGTGTAATTGGTATATATGGTGGTTCATTCCCCGGAGAAGGGGCTTTTGGAGGTGTGATTGGTACATAGGGTGGTTCATTTTTAGGAGATGGTGCTTTGGGGGGAGTATAAGGAACATTAGGCGGATTGTAAATGGGAGAAGGTGTTTTGGGAGGTGTTATTGGTACATAGGGTGGCTGATTAGTAGGTGAAGGAGTATTTTTGGGGGGTGTGTAAATAGGAGAAGGTGTTTTGGGAGGTGTAATTGGAAGATAAGGAGGTGTAGGAAGAACCTTAGGAGGTGGAGCAGACACATAAGGAGGAGTTTGTCTTACAGCCAACACCACAACAGTCAACTTTTGACCATTTTCACAATTATGATCTTTTCCACTAATGAAATAAAAAGGACCAGATCTATCAAACTGAAACTCAGAATCACCATCTTCAAATTTCTTGATTGGATTCTTCTTGTTGCACTTATCATAATCCTCTTTGTTCACCACCAACACTGAGTCTGACTCCTTCTTGTACTTAAAAACTATAACAAAACAAAATCATAATTAAAAACTACTAATCCACAAGCAAATTAATTAATAATAATTGATTTTTATTTTTATTTTTTGCATTAATTGAAATGAAAGTTACCTAGAATATCATTGACTTGGAACCTATTCCTCCCAGTCCATTGATTGTAACTTTCAGAAGGGTTCAAAACCCATCCATCTTTTCCACCAGCATAAAATGTATAGCCCTGTGAACTTGAAATTAAACTTAAAAGAAACAAGAAGATGCAAATATGTTTATGAAGAAGCTTCATGAGTAAATTATTTGTACATATGAAGTTGATGTGGTACTACAGGTTGAAGAAAAATAATTGAAGAGTGAGAGTGAGAAGAGAGTTATGGAAAAGTGATGATGAAGAGAGTGAGATATAAAGAGAAAGTTTTAGTTGTTACCGTTGTATAGTATATTGATGAATGAATGAATTATTGATCGATGTACGAACAAGCGTGTGTAACGCGGGGGGATTGCGTATGAATTATGAGGGGCTTACAAGTGGCATAGACTATAGTATGATAGATATATTAATCTGATATACTAAAGTTCATTTAATATATAGGGTTGTCGGGGTCAAATATCTAATTCCATGAAATGGATTATTACTATAATATGCAAAGAAATTTCTAAAGTAAGAAAAAGCATTAATTATGAGATCTAATTGGTTTCGTGGCCAATGTTTAGTGGGTCGTGTTTTGTGTGTTTGGATTGTGATGTGAGGTGAGATTGGGAGCTTTGTTTTCCTACCGACGAGACTAGAGGGCACTACGTGTTTGGTGAAATGATAGAGATATCAAGTTGGAATATACTTGTAAGATGGAATAAAAATTACAAACTATTTGAATTAACTTTCATTGTTGTAAGTTGCAATTATTTTAAATTTTTTACTTTAAGTAAAGATATAAAGGTGAAAGGTTAATAAAGATGATTAAAAGTAATGATTATATAAATCAATCATGGCTTTACTTTTAAGCATATGATCCGAAAGTAGAATTTGGGGATTGGAAGAGTTGTGCTTTGCTTTACTTTTTGCTTACAACTTTTTTGGTCACACAAATTAGTGATCCAATTATGGTTGGGTTGAGTAAACTTTATTTACATTAGTTAACTTTTCTCTGAGAATGTTACAGCTTGCAATAAGAGTAAAAGGGGAACAAAGTTCTTCAGTGTTTACAATCTAAAATTATTAAGGACTTTTCTATTTTTGGACAAATATTGAGTGCCTATATTCTAAGAGTTTCTTTATTATCCATGTTTACTACATGTTGTGATCATATTTTTAGCCTGTGTTTGCTTCAACGTTCGAAAGTCTTCACCCCACACTGAGCCTGAAAATCCAAGTTATAGTTTGCATACATTCAATTGTCAAACAACAATAGGTTGGTCAGTATCTTTATCCTCTGAGAGACTCAGTTTAGTCCATTTGGCATGCCTTGTCAAAAGTAAGAGTGCCCCAGTTTGACACACCAGTCCACAAATCATACCAATCCATAAACCCTATATCATAATTCAAAAGATACAAATGATTAAGAATGAAGTTCAGACTTCGGTTCGTGCTGCCAACAATACTCTTTTTCTTAACAATTTGACTGCTAACATTTATCGAAAAAAAACAACATATTTTACCTTAAATTGCAAATTGGTCTTGAATCCAAGGAGACATGAAATTGGCAAACCAATGAAATAAAAAGATGCAAGGTTGACATAAACAGCTGAGTGCTGCAAACCACATGCTCTAACCACCCCTGCAGTATTTAAGGCATTTGCTCCCTGAGATTATTTTGATGATAATCATATTGTACAGAAAGCATAAGTTAAAGAGAAGAGATGATAAATTCAAACCTGATAAGACACCTTGAATAGAATCTAGTAGTATGGAAATAGCAAGCAAAGGTGCGATTGAAGCAAACTCCTTTTCTATAGTAAGACTACTACTAAATAGTTGAATCCATATGCCATGACCAAATACAAGTAACAAAACAAAACATAAACCAAGGAAAAGAGAAAGCTTTAGAGTGATTCTCATTGCATGTTTAGCTCTTTCCGGTTGGCCTGCTCCCAATTCGTTGGATACCCTTGTGCTATAAAATTTGAGTTTAAACTTTTCAATATATGAATAAGAACATAGATTAAATGCTTATAACAGGAGGTAAGTCCAACAAACGCAAATTGTGAAGGATACTATTGGATTGTCTGCAGTCATACAATCACATTGTTCCATCGCAGATCTCTTGACCCTTGGATGAAAATGTGATGTCTCATATTTTAAAGTTGATTTAATGAAGTTAGAGAGAGTCATCGATCTTCGTCAAATGATCAAGATCTCTTGACTGCGTATTTTCCTAGACCATAGGAAATCTAGGTCCATAAAGGAATATGCAACAATTCTAGCAAAAGAGAGTATGTTAACGTAAACCAACTAACCTTGCAGATGCACTAAGACCATAATTGATCATGTAAGCAACCATTTGTGTGTTTGTACTGCATAACAATAGTGAATCATATGAATACTTCTCTTCATTTTAGTGAAAGAAATATAAAGATATAAGAATCATACCATATTGCAATCAACGTTGTTATTTCCGAGTCAGATATTAATCCAGCTAAGAAAACCAAAACTTCCATAGCCCAATACTCCAAACTTGCAACATATAAAAAGTAGTAAGATTTATAATATAAGGATCTTATCTTGATGCCAAAATTGCAAGCCACAATTAAGGTGGAATTGCCAACAACAATGTTCAACCAATAAGATGATATTTGAGCAAAGTTTTCTTTTTAAGATCAAACATCAAAAGGGACAAATAAAGTGATAGGCTTTTTAGAGACTTGTACCATAACATTGCTGCAGAGGGAAAAGCTAGTTTAATAGTTGTGATTAAGTAATGAAATGATTGCATTGATAATCCTCTCCATGTATTCTTGAACTTCTTTGCATACATAACATATGATCCTAACAATATTATTGATATCCATAGTGAAATAGAAGCCGCAATTGGTCCCCCTTTCAAATAAAGACCTGTCCAATGAACAAGTCCATATGCAATACCAACATAAGCAATTGCTGGAAGAGTTGAAAGGATAACCAGTGGCATTACTATGGATTGTGTTTGTAGAAACCTCAATATGTTTTGCAAGATACTAAATGCAAATAATCCTGGTATAAGAAACTTCATGTAAAGTGCAGCTGTTCTAGCCATTTCTTATGATTGATGAAGTAGAACTAGAATGTGTTCCGTAAAAAACCATATAATGGATATAATGATGGAAGTAAAAAAAAGATATAATGCATGAGCTTTGTAGATAAATTCCCAACATGTGATATTCCTCTACACCAAATCCTTGCCCCCACTTATAAAGACATGTTCATGCCATATATTATCTGATGTAGGACTCTTAACAGATAGTTAGATCAATCAAGGACACAAAACAACATTAATGAGCACATCTAGAATTAGTTGTCCATATAAACATCTATTGAAATGGACAAAAAATAATGAAGAAATTGTAAATTACCATAACAGCAATGCCAGTGACACCAAACCATGAGTTAGCAAGAGTGGCACCGGCTAACTGAAGCTCACCAAGGTGACCAACAATCATAACAGAAACCATAGTGATTGAGTAATAGAATAAGTTTGTAAGAATCAGTGGCACTGAAAACACGAGTTGATGTTTGGCCTCCTCGATGTCCAAGATTTTGTTCCACCATTTCTGTTTCCTATCATCAGCTGCATGTAAATTAGGTGTTGCTGTGCCATCTGAAATGCTACTTGCTGCCATGTTAACTTACTGAACTATCTTACTCTTAGCTTCTCTTCATTACTATTATAATAGTATAATTATATATATATATATATAATCATGTTTTTCTATGTGAATTAGCCCACGTTTTGCAATAACATTTTCATGCTTTAATAAAAAAGTTGACTTTATAGTTCAACAACTCCAATATTAGAGTTAATATTTTCAACAATTGTTCACTGTTTCGAAGCAATTTGCATACACTAAAAATAGTCAGATTTCATTTCCCATTGATTTGAGTCAGAATTAAAACAGAATATTAGCATAATAAAACCAAATATAGGTAAAAAAAAATGGAAAGAGGAATAGAGAATTCACACCATTTTTGACAAGGGAAGCATGAGACCTTCTCTGCGTGTGGTGGTCGGAACTGAGAATTCACACCACTTATAATATGGAACTGAATACTAGGATATAGTTGAATTTGAAATAACACACTTAAAATCATGTTAAGTTGTTGAACGATTTTTGAATATTTAAAAAGTGGCATGATTATTATTATATTTTTAGTTGTACTCATTGGGTTAAATCTACTTTTAACATGTATATTGCAGCAATGGGAGATGTTGATCCTTCAGGATAATAAACTGAAGAAGAAGGATTACCTATCTTTGAATGCTACAAATGAACTCGAAAAGCAAGAAGATGATGATGACAACAACTGAATCAGGGCGTTTTCGATCAACAGAAATGCTTGGAGCGATGAGCAAGGACAAGGAGAAAAGGGTGGTTGCCTCCCCTGAGGCCGAATCCATCACCAACTCACTGATGGTAGCAATAATGCTTGACGGGTAGAATCAAGCTGAACACGGCGGCCAAGGACATAACTCATGTAGCCTATCAAATGCATCATGAAACCATAAGACTAACCGCATCAAACCTGCCCGTTATTCCGAGACTAACTGTTTCAAATTTTGTTCATTGGTTGATTAAAAGTTGGTCTGAAATTTCATTCTCTATTTAAGAGGGTCCCTGAACTTAATTTTTTAAAAATTCTCAAGAATTAGTGAGTAGATCAATTTTTTAATATTTAACTTCTATAAATTTTTGGTATTATCTTTCTTGTCTTGTCTCTTTTATTTTTAGTTTTATTTCTTATTTTTTTTGAATTTTCGCTTTTTATTTAAATATTTTTGTTAAAATATTTTTAAATTCTGATTTTATAAATAATTTTGATTTTTTAAATCTCCACCATTCATCATCTTATTGTACATAGAGTCGCATAACATGTTATGTAACTTTAAACTTTTATGTTTGATTCCGGACTATCCAACTCTAAACTTTTTTTTTAATTATCTTTTATATAAAAATTAAAATAAAAACTCCACAATATTTATTATAAATATAATAAAAAATTATATTAGTTTAAATATAATATATTTTAGGTACTATATTATTTTTTATAATACTATAATATATTTTTAAATACAATATATCTAAATTGTATATAATAATAATAATAATAATCAAACATTTAAAATAAGATAAATTAATAAAAATGAGAAAATTGTAAATTAAACACAAAAATAATTGAATATTAATTTAATTATATTAATATATAATATTTAAAAGAGAAAGGCTAAATAAAATAGAGATAAGATTTAGTGAAGTGAAAAAAATAAACATGTTATTTGGAGTGAGACATCATAAGTATTAATCTATTTTTTTTTTAAGTTTATAGTTATATGGGTGTAACAGACTACCCACAACCCATATGAGCTAACCCTAATTGGTAACGGACTTTTCAGAGTCGGGATAAAAAGCTATGATTTTTTGGATTTGACGGACCGACCCATATGAGCTAATCCATTTTGATAGTTCTACCTAAAATATTAAATGGCATTTTGAATTAATAGGTTTTCTTTTATAATTATTCATAAATTTATATGTAAGGTTTTGTTAAATTAAATGCAAGATTATACTAGAGATCCTTAAAAGAATTTAACAGGTTTATCCTTTAAATTTTTCTTAACAACTTGGTCTTTTAAGTTACCAAACGTGTACAATATTATCCTCTTTTAACGGAGTGAATGTGTTCATTATGGATACAATTATTTTGAGTGGTATTAAAATGATAAAGTGCAACAAAAAATACAACAATCATACATTTCTAAATAATCAAAATGTGAGAAAAGGTGTAGAAATCACCCTAAAAGATAAATTGTTACAAAAATAACTTAAAGACGAAATTAAATTCATGATAAATTTAATTTTTTTTTTCTCTTTTTATTGGTTGTTTCTAAAAATATAAATATAAGTGTGTTCTTATGCAAGTATTTCTCCATTAAACCAGTCACAAAATTTGTCTAACCTACGTGACATTCCACATCAGCACCACATTAATTTAGTAATTGACTTTGACTAATATAATTAACGAAAATGACTAATATGAGCTAGTTTGCATAATTAAGGAATCAAAATGGTTTTAAATTGCTTTTTGTTTCATGATTTATAAAGAAAATGAGTGATACACTGACAGTGTAAATTAAATATACACTATCAACCAATAACAACCATGCATCCCGCCAAATCATACTAAAAATTTTAAAATACTTGTATGACATGGCAAAATAATAAATTTTCATTAGATGATAGTTTAAAATTTTTTTTACAGTGTCAGTGCATTACCATTAAACTCTTATAAATAAAAGAATTTTTAAAATAAATAAAGTATAGTGCAAAATATATATGAATTTGAAGATATGAAATGTAATGGAGAAATTTAAGAATTTTATTAAATAAATGTATTTTTGAAAAAGTGAATTGAATATGTACTAGTATAATTTTATGAGACTCTAAGGAATGGCACTCAATGAGAAATTGACATAAGCCAAGCATACTGGTGACGGGTGGGCATCCTAAGAACCAAGGGGTTGTCCGAAATGGAACTCGAGGTCGGCCAGAGCACACAATACATGTCACTCGAAGTTGTGCACGACATAAAATCTAGTTGATTATAAAATGTGGACTATGAGTTGTTCGAGTAATACAAATTAAAGGAAGAGTATGTTTTCCACTACTCCTATGTTCCTGGTCACGGGATAGTGGAAATCACCTTTTAGCTTTTTAATCTAAGCCTAAGATGTTATTTGTAAATATCTCAGTTCATAATTAAAGAAGGACATTCTCTAATTTTACATAAAATAGATATATATAATCTCTTGTAATCCTATTAAAACAAATTCTTTCCTTCATTGTACTTTTAGTAAATAAAATTGGTGTTAACACTAAAGGTTTTGTAAAACTGACTTGGCCTTAAAATCAATCCATGAGACATTAGTGCTTGTGGCAAGTGGCGATGATGAAGATGACGACGACAACAAGACAAATCACCCGCTCATCATAAAATTGATTTTACTAAATGAAATTCACAGATAAATGGTTGAAATAAAAAGTTATTTTATTAGAAATTCAAAGTATTTAGAATGTAAAATCCATTAGGTATTTAGAAATTCAAAGTATTTAGAATGTAAAATCCATTAGGTATTTAAAAATTCAAAGTATTACTATTTGATTGATTTAACATGTTTGGCACTAGTTTCTACATTATTTACAATTTTTCATTTTCTACATTATTTACAATTTTCAACATATGATTAGTTTTTTCACTTTCTACAATTACGCTTCACCCGTTAAACAGTGGTATTGCGACTCTGTCCAGCGTTGTTCTTGTGTCTTTCACTCTAATCGCCAATAACAATAAGGTCGAAATTGTCAAAGATGCAATCACTGTAATCATGTAAGTCGCCAATTTTCAAATAAAGCGATAAGTCTTTTTGGAAAGGTTTCAGATGTTAGAGCATTCACAGATCTACTTGATTTTGCGATCAGCTCAAGCATGCAAACAAGGTGATTTAGAGACACCACAACTTTTGATGTGTTGGACGAAATTACTTTTGTTAGAGATAAAGATAGCGCTAAGGGGAAGTAGAGCTATAACGTCGAAAAAGGTAATGCATGATAAGTCATAGTAACGTCGTTTTGAATATTGTTTCGTCGTTTGATGAATAAAAACAAAGGATCATCATTTTGACTAGTAAGTGGTTGTTTGTTCCTTTTTGTCACTTGTGCTTCAACATTGTTTTAAGAGGGAATATAAAGAAATAGGCAAGTTATAGAATAGAAATCACACGTTTCTATAAACTTGGAAAATTGAAAGGAAAGATTAATTTAGATGAGGAGCCCACAACAATATTTTCCTTTCACAAGTAGAGATAAAGCTCCCCCATAAACTCACTTTTTCATTATTTTATATTTGTCCTTGCCCATAAATAAAATATTGAGTTAAATATGTCATAGGTTCTCATAAATATGTTAACATTCAATTTTAGTCTCTAAAATTTTTCTTCAAACAATGGTTCTCACAAACTTTTTCGTCTCTGAAATTGGTCCTTCC